TAAATCTGAACTACCTGCGCCCTTAAAGTTTATCAAATGGCTCATAAAATGTAGGCTACTATAACGGCAAATGTCACTTCAACTATGTAGATTTTAGATCGCCTTAAAACACTGTATCCGCATTTAATTGAGACGTAAAGAAGTACAATAAGCTTTTTAGCCTACAGTAATTTGTCTTTTACAAACTTCATTAATATAATAATGGCACCAACTTTTTTAATCAGCATTGCCGGAGAAATGAAATTCAGGTGGGAGTTTATTGCCAGCTATGGATTCGCCATGTTCAAACAGAGCAAAAGGATCTGGTATTAAATCGTAATTTATATAATTTTTAACATTATGAGTGGCATTCCTTGCTTCATGAAAAGCCCAGACAATGATTTGAATGTTCTTTTTCAAAATGCACATACGAATAAAACTGCATTTATAGTGGTTCCTTTTTTAAAGTCGCAATTTGCACAGAAAGAATAAATCCGAGTTTCCTATTGATTCATAAGGTACGCGAGTCTCCAAAGTTGCGTTTGTTCCGTTTTCAATTTTATATAGATAGCTGAACGCACGATAGCCGAGGGAGACGCTAGTTTGTGTTGTATATGAAAGTGTAGACGAATGTAATAGTGGAAAGGGAGACGCTTAGTTTTTGTGAAAGTATACACATCGTCGTACATGCCAATTTTAATGGTTACATAGCGTCTTTGGAATTGTGTACTTCCGCGTTTAGTTTACAAGTGCATATAATAATGGGTAAGCATTTTAATCGGATGTGGAAATTATTCCTTTTTTTTATTTTTATTTCGAAACTAATTTAAACCATTAGTGGATGACATAATCGAGTGAATTATTTAAATTATATGCGATAGTAATACGCATCGCGGTACTAGCAAACAAATAGCGCGTCGATCATAATCGGGACGTTTGAGTGAAAGTTTGGCCCCCGAAACACGGTAGAAATTAATGCCTGTAAAAAGTAATTCACCAAGAAAAAGGGTGCATTCTTTCGTTGTGCAAATGTCGCGTAGTAGAAATCTACTGACGCCGAGTTTCGATAGCAAAAACAGTATAAGTACGTGGTTGCCATAGTGATGATGTAACATGGAAAAATTTCAATTTTAAGTATAGTGGACTTGTGGTACGCTTTTTAAACCATAGCGAAAATGATTTACAAACTTTTATCAATACTAATTCCGATCTTTGACTGGCGAGGATGCGGTTAATAACTAAAAAGGAACAATTTCTTCGAGTTATATTTACATTTTTATTGTTAATGCTGACTGGAATGAGCTTATACATTCTTAAAGGTTCGACAATACCGACTTGACCCTAGGATAAAGTGGACATCATGCAGGAATGCTTGGATACCTACAGTGTGGTAAAAAAAAACTGGACTATAATTCTCAACATTTAAGGAGACCGTATACCATCACGGTTACACATTCAGAATGTATAAATATCAAGAATCGAAACAATATTACGTTCAGGGTAGATGTAAACAAATCGATCACCGAGGATCCATATCTTACATTTAAGAGAGCAAATGAATCCACAGAATTCTCTGAAAATTATTTTTACATTAGATATACAACCCTTAATTTTTTCGCGCCGGGAAATGACACTGCATAGTTCTCTGGACGCAGTTCTTTCGAACGATGAACTGTGTTTAGATTGTTATTCTTATTAATATTAAGGAGACATTTGGACGAAATCGAAATATTTAAAACAATTTTATTTTTACGAATGCCAACTACACAGGCCAGTCTCCTTTTTTGGTTTCACTTCCAGTGAAATAACTACACTGAATTTTTTACCAATATGACTAGTGCGCTTAATTAGTTTGTCCTTGGTCGAAATACGATCGTTTTGCCCTTTTTAGCCCGTTTACTTTTAACTGCACGGTTAACAAGCCGGTATCCAAACCCAAATGCAAAATTAAGGGTCGTATTCGTGGCTGAAATGAATACCTACTGTTTCTTTTTTGTTCGGACCAATCATAGTTGCGATACTTCCTAGAAATGGATGCTATCACTCGCAAATTTTCAGCAACTTTAACAAATACCACGATATGGAGATGACCAAATCCTTATTTCGCAATTTTAATCACGTAGGCCGAATTAAGATAACTGAATCTAATCCAAATCCGGACTTTCGGACTTTTACAATTCCACCACATACAATTTATTGGACAATTCGACAATTATGTAGGCTTTATATGGTACGTAATGCATGAACTGTTTGAACCTTAAAAAAAATTCCAAAAATCTCAACTTTACCTATCGAAATTTTTTACACAATTTCCTCAAGTTGCTTTTAAGCTTCCCGCACGTTTCAATTGGATTTTCCACAGGTTCCTTTAAAGTACATCTTCAAGTTCTTCTCCGTCTTAGGCCGTTCTCAAATTTTTACAAATCTTCTGTTGCGTGTACAAATGAAGCTTCTGTGAACTCTATGTTGTGGAGTGCTTGTTACGATTTTGTATAATAAAAGGGGGGGGGGCATGATTCTAAATGGGGATTTACTCGAGCGTCGTAGGGATCTATTGAACTTTGTTGATTAAATGGTAGAAAGAAAATGTTATATGATGTACACTCTTCCATCGGTGGGGGGGCGCTTCTGATATTGGAGGTATATTAATCTGTCGGTGCAATGGTGGGGGACGCTGTACGGAAGGGTAGAAAACGGATTTTTTTTTAATTTAATTTGTGTGCCTCGACTACTAGTGGCCATTGGCCATTGGAACATGTTATGTTCGGAGGGTAATTAGGTACTACTTTTAATAAAAACCATTTATCTATTAACTATTTACTTATACGTGTCTCTTCTTGGAAGGTTCGTAGTCATCTCTGTTCTCGTTATTACATTTTAAGTCACCCACCTAAGTAGGTTGTCTACTTGACAATTTCAGCAACGATCGGCAATCAATGCAATATCTACAAGTGCGTTTACATAACCTGTGGATATGACACAATAGCACGTCTACAAGTACCTTTACTTACAATGCACGTATTCTAATAATATTTCGCTTATTAGACTATTTTATATAAAATTGTACAAGTTTGTATCTCTTAGAAAGTTTAGTACGTTTTTAATACTTTTCGGTAATGAGAGGTCTTTTTTAAGGTCCATTCCAATATGGTATTTGCTTCGGATTTCCAATTGCAGTGGACACTGTGAGAGGAAGTGGTTCACGGACAAAGGCTCGTTGCATTCACAATATGGAGGGTCTTGATTTTTAAAAAGGTATCCATGGGTTTTCTTGTGTGTGACCAATCCTCAACCTTCGAATTATGACTGTATTCTTCCTATTCATTGAGGGTAGATTAGTGGTCATTATTGTAGGCTGACTTTCGGATAACTTGGTGTTGGATTCGAGCGCATTAAATACTTGTAGAGGGGATGTTTAGTGAACCCCAAAGAAGCTTCCATTCAAAAGACTGACGATTTGAACATCACGCAACCTCGAGGCGGCCTTTTGATAATGCAAAAAGAAATCGCCATTTTGTAATACTCGAGCGCGCCAGATTATTATACGGCCGATTTGGCTTGATATCCCAGTTGTGCTGACGATACTTTAGAGGGATTCTCTTAATCTGACGGTTTGAAAAAACTGTTTTTAAGTGAGGTGTGGTTGAATTGTTTCAGACGTGGATTTAACAATTTTTTCAACAGTATTTTGCTTACAAAATACACATTGTATGGTATTATCACTCATCGTCGTAGTAAAGTAACGTTTTTTGCCAGTTTGTGACCTTCCCACTCTTCCCACTCCATTACGTAATATATTCGACATTTTTTTGAAACACCCTGTACATCAAGGTATGATACTACAATAAAACAAAATTTTTTTCTTTAACTTTGGAATGTGAAATTACTGTGACTGATTACCGGAGTACAAAAAATGGTGTATATATCACAAGACTAAAGTGCGTCCTAATCCCTCGGGTGCATCCTACGGATTAAAACACACACTTTGGAATTACAACCGATTGGAAAAATACTTTTAGCACGATGCTTCTAATCGTTGAATCATTTGTTCTTGCAAATATCAAAAATTCCAACTCAAATGTCTCATCGTGACAGCAGTAGATATTATACAATGTTGTAGTTGGTAGACAGTACAAAATCACGATATAACAACCTACAACAATTTATTAAAACATTTTTCAGTTTTTTACGGTTAAATTGAAAACTGTCTATTTTAAAAAAAATTTTGGAGTACATTTTTTGCCCGCTCTTTCCATTGATGCGTGAAATGTCAGACAGCAATGATATGGCTATTTACTGAACCTCTGAAACCGCGAAAAATTTCAAAAATATCAAATAACTTCGAAACCATGTCAGTTAGACATGGCATCAAATCGACAAAGTCATACTGATTTTTTATGAGAAATTCGAAAATGCCATCAGAAAATAAGAAAGTTTTTAAATGATTCCGTTTGATCGATTATTCAAAAAAGGTAAGAGCCCCGAATCGAATTCCAAACCGTTCCTGAGATACTTTTAAGGGTCCACCTACAAACACCAGCCTGTATACCAAGGGGCTAAAGTGTGTGTTTTAATTCCGAGATTAGGACGCACTTTAGTTCTGTGGTATATGCGGTATTTTTGTACTCCTGATGTAGTCAGTTCCAATGTTAAAAGCCCAAATTTGAAAGAAAAAAATTTGTTTGATTGCAGAATCATTATACATCGCTGTCATGTCAAATTGTGACGGTATAATAATAAATGTCAGTTTCATTTAAAGATTTTCATTAAAAAACTACGGCGCAGAAATGATCGTTTTACTCCTCCTTCTGAATTAATAGAAAAACGATTTGTCTGAAATTAACCGCATAAAACAAATTCAATGATCTTACCTCAATGCTGCTGAACTTGTCACCTTCACTTTCTCGTTGAAAAGGGGCAACACAATTTTTTCTAACCAAGGATTACTCGGCAAAAAGTTTACAGCCAGTATAAAATAATTTATTTTCAACTTTACATAGATACATTTAAAATATGAATTTATTTACGAGTTAGGTAACAAAATATATTTCCTGCCAAACACGCCTATCATAAAAATGTATACAAATAACAATCATATAGTCAACACAATTTGACTTAAAAGTTATGCAACTAAAATGGCGCTGAGAGAAATACACAAAATCATATAAACAGGTACTGAAGTTTTCATTTAATAATCCTAAATATTATTGCAACAAATGTTATTAATAATATTAAATTTTGGTATGTATACCTACGATTTGATTGTAGCTACATCGCTACAATCATACAGTATAAGTACACAAAACACATCTGAGCGGAGCCTGTCGGCGGAGAAGTATTACTGAAATCGTCAAAACAGATCAATATCTATTCGTATAGCAATTTGTGAAAGTTCCTTGAGCCTTTACAACCCGTAATATCCCGTCTTTCAGTAAACTTCTTGCGTCTAACAACATATTTCTTTGCGAAAGGAACCCATTAAAATATATAACCTCATTATATTATGCTTTATAGTTAGATATCACACATAATTCGTGGAAGTGGTTAACAGCAAAGATTGACTTAGTTACGGAGTTCTAAATTAATTTGCTAAGCTTCACCGGAAAACACAACTAATTGCTAATAACATTGGAAAGTACACTAACAAGAGTTTGGGGTGTAGACTGCTGCCGGTATCCGGATCGTTGTTGTTCGTCGAGGGTGCGAAGACAACTGCAAAAAAAAATTAGAAATATTAGGTGCTATGGTGGTAAAGTTTTATTATGATGAGCTTTCTACGCTATTTCGCACTCGTTAAATAACCAGTTGCTCGCAGTTCACGACCGCGTTGTAAATAAGCTCGTAACAAGGCATTCCGTCGCGTAAGGGATTTCGCATTAATCTCCCTTCTCGAGAGCTTCGATTGAAATTTCTTTCTCATAAGTTTGTTCCGGAACAAAGATGTACAAGTTTAGCGTGACGGACGAGAGAGGAGGAAATTGACTAACAGCCAAAATACACATTGAGTCACAAGAAAAATGCAATAAATAATTGACACGAACGAGATACCTAAAGAACACATTTTACGGATACGTGACAAAGGGGTTGTTTTAGCTGCACATTCACTGGCTTTCCAATAGAAAAATGTTCAACAAAAAGGTAACTGGATTTTGACTAATAAACCATTCACCGTTGCGAGAGTAAAAATCAAAACTCCTATTTAATGCGCTAAGGAATCAGCCAACCCCGTTAAAGGCCCTATTATAACAAGCTTAGCCAATTTGCTAAAAAGCTACTTCAAATAGATATTTTAAAATATATTTTCGAGGATTTTCCGAGGCAGAAATTGGAAACAGCTTCGTTAAACAGAATGGTAGCATTAAGTCTCGTGAAAGCAAATTTATATTTATACCACCTACTTCCATTTTAGAGACAGACTTCTTAGATCTAGTTGCAAAACTCTAATGGTTAATTTTTGGGCACATGCAGCAGAAGATTGTCCCTATTAGACATTGTGTAAATTTTTTTCAAATTTAGTACAAATCACTGACACAATTTATAAACGCCACAAAGAAATATGGATTTGGAAAGTTGGGTTTCCTTTACCTTAGTTCTTTCTTTTGCCGCTAATCCCAATGTACTTTTTTTGTGTTTTCCCTCTCCCTAGGTTTTGTTAAGTTTTGGCGTGTGCGTTGGTTATTCCTTCAGTTTAAGTTTAGCACGCCATTTGTTGGTGTGATACTTTTTCTGAAGTTACCTTTTGTGTTGTTGCTTGATGCTTCATTGACGCTTTTTGCGGATATATTGACAAGTTCTACAACCGTTTACGGTATGTACCAACAGTGCGTAATATCATTGACTTTGAATAATGGTTTACTTTATGCTTTTATATAGATCCGATTTGTACAGACAACTCGTGTCGAGTAAAAATTTTGCTTTTGCTCCTTAAGTGAATTGAATGTTATATTTTTGTGTCCGAATTACACGAAGTAACAAACGTTAATTTGCCTAGGCCTTTATATGCCGCGCTATTCCTACTCCTTCTTGTTTTGTTGTTGTGCTTTATCTGATTGCAGATGATTAGCAGAGAGCGCCCTTCTGAGCTCAGACGGATTTGGCCAAAAATTTCAAAGGTAATATTTTCATTTCGTCGAAACTCCGTGAGTGTAACGTTTGTACGCATCTTGATCATCCATACGTCCGAATTGTATTAAATATATTTTTTGTGATAGTCATTTAAAGAATTTCCTTAATTATTTTTTGACTACGGGTTGATTCCTTTTTGAAAATTACTTGTGAATTTAAATTTTCATTTTTAGTAAAACTCGTATATTTTAATTTCCACGTTTGTAAACAATTAGCTTTATTTTATATTGAATTCAATTGCCATCGTTTTCAGGTTTGGTTACAGTTATTGTTATTATCAATCCATTCATTTTCTTTGCCCTTTTAGATTTATCAAGAACAGAACAAAGATCGCTGAGTCTACCTTGTTCCCTCTCAGTAAGTATTTTCGCACTTTTTAAAATTTTATATAAGACTCAGTGGGGCCTATCCAGTTAACTTATTTATTTTTGCTTTGTTAACTAACCGTAGAAGAGAACCCCTTAATCACCCAGACCCATCTTTGCTTTCCCTGACCCCTACTTTCTTTTAAAGGCTCTTGAAATCTCTTCGATACACTTAACAATTTAAAAGCTTTCCAAAGACGCTCCACTCTAACTTTACAAAGGTTGCGAGAGAAACGTGAAGAGAGCGTCAACAAAATGTAAAAGAAGTGCGAAGGCGGGGACGTAAAGGAAGAATGCATGCAGTTATTTATTAACAGATTTGTGTTTCCCAAGGTTAAACGAAAACGAGCATTAGAGTTGCAAAGTCGTGCAGATTATTTAATTATCGTAGACCTTTTACGATTGCCCTGAAATAATTCCAGGTAACAGGCATTACTGGCCTACCGAATTTGGAAATTTTGATCCGGCGATTTAGTTACGTATAATTAACCGTAGTTAATTTTGAGTTGCAGCAAACCTCGTCTGATTGGATTGCGTCTTGTGCCATTATGCGCGCCCCCTTAATTAATATAGATACAGATTGCTAGGACGTCAGGGGACCGCACATTTAAAAAGAGAAGTTTTAATTTTTTTATTTAACGCCCAAATACAAAAAATACTTTAGTTTTTTGCAACTTTTATTACGCTAAAACGACGAAAAGTAACTTTTTTCTCTGCTACGATTCTTGTAAGATCTGCACTCCTTTGCAAAAAAAGAAATTAAAGAGGAAAGGCAAATTTGGGACGGTTAGGGAGGTACAAGGCGCCGCCCCGACCATTTGGAAGCTTCGTAATAATAATAGCTTCCTGGAAATAAACTCTTAGCGGAAAATAAACAACAATTTCCTATTCACTTTTACTTAAAATTCGCTTAATGCCTCCATATTAAATACACAAAGGGATGGGTAGACGAAGGCAAAGGCAAAGAGAGCAAATCCTTTTTTACTCCGCAATAAATAAATATTTTTTTCTCGTATAGTCGAAAATCGATACAGCGATAAGGGAAGTACCCACAAAAATAATGTACTATTTATGCAACCAGATGATCCTGAAGTATTTCCGAAAACAATATTTTTACGAAATAGGAATGGAAATGTAATATTGAAAAACATTTAGGAAAATAGAAAAATGTAAATCGCATTTTATTGGTACGCGTTATCCATCAACGTATAGTAATAATAGCTCAAGGATTATTTTATTGCCGCAACCGAAGAATGTATGCTTTTATATCCAGCACGCACTTTACTGAAATAGATATCGATTAACAGAATTACACTACAGGTGTCGTAAAAACATCGGAGAAAATGTACTGTAATTAGTATTTATAATGTACACAACCTTCTCCGGGACAACATTATGTTATTACCTCGTAGAAATGAATAATGGGCTTTAGCCATTTCACGCAAGAGCGTGGGAAGTTCATAACCACTTAAACATACCCCACAGAAGACAAAAAATTGGCGAATCAAGAAATTATAACCCCTTACGTAGTCCACGTAAACCTGAATATCAAATTTATAGGATGTACCACGCAATTTGTAACAATTTGTTACAGGAGTTGAACGCCCTTGTTCGTAATATTTAAAATTAATTTCCTACTGCAATGGCAAATTCTTTCTAACAAAAATTAATTAACCGACGGATGGCTCCCAAACAAAGCCTTTACCTGGCCTTTTAATCAAAATGCTTTCTGAATGAGTCCACGCGTAGTTATTAAATATGGCCCTTTCGGACAATTTACCAAGAGCGATTCCTTTACGAATTCTTTGATTACATTCAATAAAAATTCCATGTAATTTTTTTAAGAGTTTCGCTCTTTCCTTTTAATGCAAATTAATAAATGTCAGAATTGGATCTCCTTTGGAGTGTGGAAATGATCGGGCAATGAACCTCGTATTTTTCACAACTGCATTCAAACAAGATTCCCCCCAGAGCTGGGCAGTATTCGATTTTGTAAATACTTTTTAGTATTCAAATCCTTTAAAGTATTCAAATACTTTGTAATTAAATACTTTTATGGAAGCAGTATTTGTATTTGCAACTCAAATACTTTCACAAATATTTAGTATTCGAATACTTCGCAAAGTATTTGGATACTTCGTAAAGTATTCGAATACTTCGCAAGGTATTTGAATACTTTGAGAAGTATTCGAATACTTCGCATAGTATTTGAATACTTAACCTCCCTTTTTTACCAAAAATCGACTGCACCCAAATTTCTCGGGAAAACACTTTTTCCTATTAATTTTGGTGCGTAGAATCCAAAACAATTCGTACTTTTTCGATCAGACTTCTCAATAAAAAGTTATAGACTAGAAACCAATTTCGAAAGAAAATTCAAAGGGCTGTAAGTTTTGAACTAGTAGCCCAATCTCGTAACTGTTTGAAATTATGGATTCTACAGGCCACATTCTATAAGAAAATTTTTTTCCGGGTCGATCTGAGACAATTTTTTTTCGCGCCTCAAAAAAAGGCAGTGTATAACCTTCCTTTTTTACCAAAAATCGACTGCACCAAAATTTCTCGGGAAAACACTTATTCTTATTAATTTTGGTGCGTAGAATCCAAAACAATTCGTACTTTTTCGATCAGAATTCTCAATAAAAAGTTATAGACAAGAAACCAATGTCGAAAGAAAATTCAAGGAGCTGTAACTTTTGAACTAGTAGCCCAATCTTGGAACTGTTTGAAATTATGGATTCTACAAGCCGCAGTCTATAAGAAAATTCGTACTTTTTCGATCAGACTTCTCAATAAAAAGTTATAAACTAGAAACCAATTTCGCAAGAAAATTCAAAGGGCTGTAACTTTTGAACTAGTAGCCCAATCTTGGAACTGTTTGAAATTATGGATTCTACAAGCGCATTGTATAAGAAAATTCGTACTTTTTCGATCAGACTTCTCAATAAAAAGTTATAGACTAGAAACCAATTTCGAAAGAAAATTCAAAGGGCTGTAACTTTTGAACTAGTAGCCCAATTTTGGAACTGTTTCAAATTATGGATTCTACAGGCCACATTCTATAAGAAAATGTTTTTTCCAGGCCTCAAAAAAAGGCAGTGTACAACCTTCCTTTTTTACCAAAAATCGACTACACCAAAATTTCTCGGGAAAACACTTTTTCTTATTAATTTTGGTGCGTAGAATCCAAAACAATTCGTACCCACTAGACATTTACAAATATCCATGCCCGAACCCGGATTTGAACCAAGGTCCCTTAGCACAACAGTCCAGTTTCAACTGAACTGCGCCACACGGGCCGGCTTATGATAACAGAGACTGGTTTCTCATGAAGCAACTCCCTCAAAAGAATAACTTTTTATTGCATTAAAATCAATAAATTTTTAAGAAAAAAGTCAATCAAGTTTTAATTCTGGTGGTAATTTATTAAAAATTCGGTTTAGACGCGCAGTGCTTTTTATGTGTTGTATGATGTCTTCGTTTTATCCATTTAAAGTGATTTCCTTTTTACTTCTAATGTAGAGGAAATCTTTTGTACATTATAAAAATTCATCGTATCGTTAACAAAGTGATTTTTAACGTGGAATGTAGAGATAAGGCGTGTATGACACGAATTGGAATTAATTAAGGCGGTGTGGAAATGGATTGGATGTCGAGCTCTCAAGAAGTGCGATGTTTCGTTGCGTGAATTTCGCTCAATTGTTATATTGATATCTTCAGACCAGGTCCACAAACTATAATCGTGTATATTTCGTGAGTATTTGAAGAACCGTTACCTAATTTATTAATTGAAATTAGTTTGATTAGCATTCTTGAGTATATTGTTTATCAGGATAAAAATTCAAGTATCTGGCCAGCAGGAATATTTTGATTTCAGTTAGGATTATGTTTTCTTTCATTTCAGAGAATTGTAGGAATTTGCTTCTTATCAGTGTTTACTCGTAATAAATGTATTTTGTTTGTTATAACATTTAATAAGTTTAAAGACAGTTAGTGTTAGGGAGATTATCAGTGGAAGACAAATCTATTGAATTATTTCCTATTCTTAACCCATTTTTACTTGAGCTAGCCTGGGAAGTAAGTACGATATGTAGGTCCCAATAATACACGAAGAAAATTGTAAGACGAATTTTATATGGCGAATCACGTCATGAAACTGAGGATATTACCAAACCATTTCAATTTAGTCCTATTTTTCATTTATGCTTGCCGCATAAGGGTTTCCAGAGAATCTACATAATTGTTAAGAATAGTGCATTAGTTTTAAATTACGAAGCAAATTGACAGTTGCAGCCTACATTAGGTATAGGTATAAACGTGATGTATTATACCTGATTTTTATCATTTGAAATTGTGTGAAAGCGTTAGCATTTAGAAAACAGCGTTCCACACCTGCTTTTTGTTGAAAATTCTGGCTGAAGTACCTACTTTTATACCAGCCAGAATATGAAAGTAATTTTAGTTGAACTGAATAATTTAACACGTTTACATTATATTATATTATATTACCTGAATATGTTTATTCTATTACATAATTGTTGTTTTAATGTTCTACCCGAGGTTCTACCTATAAACAATCTACGGCTTTTGCTTAGAAATATGTTTTAATGTTATCTATCAAAATGTTTAGAGCACGAATACATCATATATCAATTATACAGGCTATTTCACGCAAACCGTTACCTAAAAGTATTCAGACTCCCATTAATAATTAAAATCCAACATAGTTTTTTACGCTCTATCGAAAGAAAATATTATCATGATCGATTCACTTCGGTTGTACCGAAATGTAGGTACATGAAAATCTACGTCGTTCGATACCACATTTTTCTGTAAATAGCATCAAAGGTTTTCAAGTTAAAGATTTTTCAAAATTTTTGACGTTTGACTGGTTTTCTTCAGCGCCCTGTACCTACCTATGGATCCGTTGACTTGAATTTCAAGAGTCTTCCAAAATCAACAATATTGACGTGATGCTACATGCGAATAATTTAAATTTTGTTCGCCTTTCTACAGGGTGTTTTAAAATTAATGGTCAAGTTTAACAACTTCGAACCTTAAAAAGTTTATTTTTTCAAATGAAACCTGCACGAAGCCACAGCAAAAATTGCCTACTTGTCAACACGTCACAACCGTCACCATACGACATGACTGCCGTCGGTCTCCAAAATGAAACGCCGTTTCAACTCCTGAAAAGAGCAAACGTTGGCATCTTCAGTAAGACGAGTCAGAGGTGCACAGGCCGAGAAAACTTCTTACGTCAGTTGTACCAATTGGAATTGCCCATTCTTAACGGCTCTGCGCTTCTCAAGATCAACAAGACTATCACGGTCCTAAATATTGAACCTTACCCGGGAAAATATGGCACCTCTTTGGAGAAAGTTTTAGATTGGCAGACCGAAACCTTTGGAAGACCTTTGCAGATTCTTCATGTGTATTCGAAGATCTTTCCCACCACAATGAGGTCGTACATTATCAGTTCAATGACACGTTCAAAGGTTGCGGGTGCGTTACACAATCCAAAAGGCATAACTGTAAAATGCCATAATCTCGATCCGATCGTAAATGCCGTCTTCTGATCTTCTGGAGCTATTTCCACTTGCCAATAACCACTTTTTGAATTGAAAGTCGAGAAAATTTTAAATGCGGATAGCGTGTCAAGCCGGCAATCAATTAGTGGAAGCGGATAGGTATCTTTTTTAGTCATGTCATTGAGGCCACGAAAATCAACACAAAATCTTTTTAACCAATGCCACATTACTAGATGGCTTGATAACACCATCAGATCTCATGACTCATAATCTTTTCCGGTTCCCTCCGTTTTGCTAGTGGAAGTCGTCTAGGTGGTTGACGAATGGGTGTTTATCTTGTGCTGCATGAGGTTAGTCCTTTCTTCTTCATCTCCAAAACGTCTGTATATAGCCATTAATAAAACGATAAAGTTTCATCTTTTGTTGTCTCATGAGTAAGGCAGAGTCTATCAATTGCGAGCTGGTCTGCCACAAATCGAACTAGTATTGAGTGCAGAGACAGCGGGCTTCTGGGATGTTCGCCCCTTTTCATCGACCTTTTTTTAGTTTTGCTGCTTTTGTTGTTAACTCTCGACATCTATTCTGGAAATGCCTAATTTCTCCGCAATTTCAACAACGGAACTGTTTCTTCACAATAATGGTCTTTGATCGCAACCGATTTTGAGACCAAAGTATCCAAAGTCTTCTAGGTTACAGAGGAGGGGCTTGGGCTACTTTGGAATATATTAAAATGGGACAACAGCAAATAAACGCATGTCAAGTAACGGTAGTCATTAACCTTTAGACTCTAAAATAGTTGCTTCTGACTCCTAAGCTTAAATTCAACTCGAGCTTCACACGTATAATAAGTATAGAAAAAATAACGTGAATCTAAATTAAACGAGACGAGAGATGAAAATGCAAATGTTCTATTCATCCACCTTAATTTTTAACATGGCAGAAGAAAACGAGTAAAGTTTCCGTTACGAATGAATAATGTAATTAAAGAGTTCAACTTGCGATTTTGCCATAAAAGTTTAATTAGTTAACTGTCAAGAAAGTTAGACTTACGAGTTGTGTGTGGATACCTCTCCGCGGGTTGTGCGTCCTCCCATTGAAAAATTGGCATTGGCGTAGTCTTATACCTAAATTTTGGTTTTTCAATTTCGACACTAACTTCTGAGCTTTTAGTGTAGATGTCGTGCATACTGGCCAAGCACCGTATTCGCAATCGACCGTTTACAAATAATTGCTTGGTAATGAGCAGACGTAATCCTAAACGTGGGCTGAAAGAAGAAAATTGTGTTACTCACTTCGTAGGAGCTTTTGATTTATTGCCACAATTTATCATCAGAAGGTGGATAGAGTTAATGAAAGCGTAACTAATTAAATCGGATTAGGAAAGTTTCGTGAGGGATATTAAATTAATAAGTCGAAAAGCAAACCTATAAAACCCATCCGGCGATGGATGCGCCCTATTTCGGCGTAAATGAACTGGATCTACTTGGAAGTCGTTAACAAACCATGTCAAATTAGCGGCGGGGGGCGATTTGATTGACGTGCATTCTGCCTTTAACGTGTCGTTTAACCGATATCTTGATTTCAACCCCTTAATAATTGGACCTTCCTTAGGTACCTCTACGACCTGGAACAGAAAACACACATCAGTAACACGGTCGGGCAAGTTGTTTCTATTTAGTATTGCCTTTGTCGGGATGAGATTTCGGAAAATGGATTCTCAAAAACATCTGCGTGGGTTTAAAGTCACGTTGCTGCAAATTGGTAAACGTGAGAATAGGTCTCGAATCAACGTCTGGGGTCGGATGTGTCGGATTTTGTTTTATTTCACACACGCACATCTCCTGTTCGTTTGTGCGGTAACGAATCGTATTACATCGAATACATTTTTTGTTCGAGAAAGGTCTTATGGTTATCGCGAATAGGTATTCGTTTCACATAATTCGAACTCAGACCCATCTGCACGAAACTCTAAAGTTTTCATCTGCAGAATTTTCGCGAATAAGACACTACTTCTTTGTTCTGACAACGTGGAATATCAACAAAGACAATGATTACAGTGCTAAAGTCCTATCGCCTGCAATTGTGGTGCGACTCGTCAAATTTAACGACCGTTTGTTACCGTTTTCAATATTTTATCGCGTTTTGGTACATTAGCCGATAAAAAATCTGTTGGTTTCATTTTCATCACGAACAATTATAGGAGCATTACTTCCGCACTGCACTGCGATATTCTGCGCTAAAAGTTGTATAATCCAAAAATGCCATTCGTTTTACCAAGAAAAAGGAAGCAACTTTTTTCTTATTCACAAATTTCTAAATTGGGAAAACTTCAAGGAAGTCCTAAACAAACAAGGTAATGTAAGAAACTCATTAGCGGTGTTGATGGTTTCACACAAGCAGCGATTCGGAACTCCATCTACGACATGATCAGACACAGTAAGTTAAAACACACGTTGAATGGTTGAGTGTAGATAGTCGTTTATGTCAACTGTGCAAAGATTATTATAAGCGGTTTACGTTTGTATTTTAGAACTTACGCTTCAATCCCTCTTGCAAGTTCTAAAAGAGGCATACGTATTTAAAGGGTCCAAAAATTCCTTAAGAAAAGTTGTTGCGAATATTGGTCTTCGCTACCCAAAAGATAATCCAAGAAAAGGTTATGGAGTTACCGAGGGAGTTACCCAATATTGCACTATCAAGAGTTGATTTTTTAGATGCGTATGTAAGAGATTATGCAATCTGGGACTGGACGCCAATGTGTCTTTTTGGATGAATCGTGGGTAGGTATTTGAAAATGGAACAATATGTAAGTCATGTCAAGATGACTGTGCAAAAAGCGTATGAAAGATTAACCCGAGGAACGCAGGTAACATGCTGGCATTGATAAGAACAAAATCATCTTATAACCATTTAAGATATCATATGGTTTTACATGCCGGAAACGGAAACATGAAGGGTTTTCTTACTGGAGCAGTGGAGCATCATGAATTTGTGATTCGATTTTTACCGGGACGAGAACAGGATGATCGGCAAACAATAGGCGAAAGTAAGGTAAAGGTACTTAGGTACAAGACTAATTTTACCTGTACTCGTATCTACAATTTACATTTGCTTCGATAAAACCCATCATATGCATTTCATTTTTCTTTCGAAATTTTTGAAATTTTGGGCACAACAATTAGGCGTTGGATATCATAGATTCTATAGGGCATCGAAGTTTAGATGGCCGATTTCCCAATAAAGGATTTGATTAGTTCAATTATAGTATTCGTTAACCGCGGTGGAAATGAAGCCCGACTTATCTACGTCGTTTGATTTCTGTAAAGCATTGTTTTCTTAATGTATTCCGGTTGCCTCGTGACTTGGAGACTAGATGTCGGGAATTTATATCATATTCAATTGGTATATTTGGTTACAACTGCTAATTCGGTATGATGTCACTTCAGAAGCGTGGAAACTGCTAATCTCACATATTAGAAAAAAGTGGGATTTGATTTATGTTCAACCGATGCAATTTCTTCACCCTCGGAGCTTTATCAAGGATAGAACAAGGATTTCTTAGTAGACTTATTCACCCTCAGTCAATACTTTCTCTTTTTGTAAATTGTCTACGACTAAGTACGCCAACGTAAAACTGACAGCTTTGAAAATCCACATTTTCCAATAAAAAAAACTTGAGACATATGTCTTTCGCATCGAACAGTTCACATGTGGAAAAAGAACTAGTTTGCGATTGGGATAGGGATAGTGTTGCCGCGAGATGAGACGAGATGAGACTTTCGAAGGTCTCGTCTCGTCTCGTGACCTCGAGACGAGACCAACTCAAAGTCTCATCTCGCCCTGGTTCAGTCTCGTCTCGTCTGGTCTCGCCTGGTCTTGCCATACTATCAAAAAATGGTGTAGAGTATATAAAAGACACAACGAAGGCATGACAAATAATAATGACCTTCCCTATCTATCTGCTAATCACGAAACATAATTATGCGTATTTTAAGAATTTTCTTTACCATCATAAAATGTATCTGGTAATGTAACTAGGTAGGAAAGTCTCACTGAATTCTTTGTTACATAAATACTTAAAGATAATCGTCCAAGTTATTTTGTAAAATCTTACTTTTATGGTCTTAACTACGCGGTAAACTCATACTAAAGTACCTGTAGCATTTTAGCCCCAATATGGCGACCAGAACGAACTACCAATCAAAAGCTGTCAAAGGCTTCCTGGATTTAAGAAAAACTACACTTGTATAACACCTATGATAATTAAGTCCTAAATCAGTAAATTCAGGAACGGTTTATGGAAACAATTGGAATTCGTGCTACTTCAATAAATTTTCTTGATTAAAATTTAAAAAAAAAACAGTACAAATAAATACAAAAAAACTTCGAGACCAAACGAGAGTCTCGCCGAGACTGATGGTTAGTCTCGTCTCGATACCGACATAGTTTACGAGTCTCGGCCGATTACAGGAAAGCGAATTATAATCAAAATCCTTCATCTGAGTTTAAACAAGAATTTGACATTTAATTGGCTGCCTACTGCAATATAAAGCCAATCAAATGTCTTAATACCGGTTTAAACAATAATCCTGGATTATTTTTTTTGTGCAACTGGCTTACCTTAAAACTTGCCTAGATCAAGAAAACGATTTTATTTCCGGAAAAAAGGTCCCGTTTATAGAATGGTGGCAATTGCGTGTAATGAGCTAATGAGGGGGATGGTCATTTCCTTGTATAGATTTAGCTAGCCTTTCATGGAAGAGTTTGTAACGAAAGCATTCAGGCTTGGATTTAACTTTTTGAATTATTCTCGCCAAAAAAGGTAATTAGAATTTTGAAAGATGAAAAAAATATCGAGGTTCTGCCGTCTTTCAAGACAAATATTGTGTAAAGAATTTATCTGGATAATTGAGGTTAAAGAAATTTGCGTCATCTATCTTGCACTGTTGGTTTTCAATGCGCCTCTGTTTTTTAAATTGTTTCTAATCGTCAGTCGCAGTCTGAGTGAGGGCTCAGCTTACATCCGTTTTAATATGGGTATAGTATTACATTAAAGCAAAGAAAAGTATAGTAGAGTTTATTGTTTAAATAGATTGAGTTAACAACAAACAACAAAATATACATAGAAATTAAACACGTGTGTGTCAAGAATTTTTCAGAAATATACTTAAAACGTGGATTTTGGAATCTATTTTATAAACCCCATGAACCTTTAAAAATCTTCTACAGGGCACCCCTGATTTATCACAAAAGTATTTGTAATCCTCCAAAAATGATCTCCAATTTAGGCCAGTAGGATAAAACCATGAAATTAGACGAATCGGGGGTAAAAATGTACCTACAAAAAGGGTATTTGTGCAGTTTTACGGTTGTATCTTGTAAATGACTCACAATATCGAAAACATAGTCCCGTTACAAGTTTTGGGCATTAAATTAAATTCAAATAATTTTTTTCCGTTTTGGAAAATCTTACTGCCTCCCTTACAATCCCTAAGGAACCTACATGCCAAATTTCAGCTTTCTATGGACAGTAGTTTCGGCTTTGCGCTGTCTATCAGTCGGTAACGGAAGAATTGTATAGAAAAAACTCTTCCATTATGAGGTGATACCCTATTCTTTCTCGGTGTTCAATGCAGTCGGAATGAGGAAGACCCCCAAGTTACTTGGAAGGATCAGCTTTTGTCACTCATGGTGGATTTCTTTTCTACCGGGCTGTGTGGAAGAATGGCGAAAACATTCCATTTAATCATTACTATATACAGAATACAAGGGAAGAACTCTTTGAGCTGTTCATCGGAATTCTTGAGGAACGTTATTCGGTAGACTATGCCTTCAGCGTTCACTGTCACCATCATTGGTCACCTTAAATTCGAATCCTTGTATAGCCATTACTCTATTTCTGCGGACAAACTGGACTATGTCAAAGGTTTGATTAACCAGCATGGAAGAATTGCCAATTCCAAAGGTCCTATGGCAGTTGATGGAGTCACCTTCGATGACTCCTGTGCTGATAAGACATAAATAAATAAAAATTAGTAGAGGGAAAGGATCATGCGATTGAAACCACTCAATAATCCTCTGAAGGTCTGTAAAGCCGAAACGAGTGGGTGTAGAAATCTGAAATTTGGCTTGTACGTTCCTTGGGGATTGTAGGAGCCTGGCAGAGGATGTACTGAAATTCCTACGGGAACGGGATGTTACGTTTTACAATCTCCGGAAGATAAGAAAGAGACAACAGAACCTAGTTTTTTATAAATATGTAAAATTTAAAATTCGAAGAGCACTAGTATGGAAACCTAACCTAAATATGCAACACATGATGAAGATACCTTCAAATGGCTCCTTTTTCTTAAACCCTGTATCCAAATGTGAGGTCCTTCAGGCAGTTAGTAAACTAAGTAACTCACGCTGTACTGATTATTATGGCATCAATAGCAAGCTAATCAAGGAAACTATACAAATATATGTTGACTATTTAGTAAACGTGTTCAATTCCTGTATTTCAGAAGGCAATTTCCCTGACGTCTTTAAAGTTTCTGTTGTATTACCATTATTTAAGAAAGGCGATTGTAATGATATGAACAACTATAGACCAATCACTATTGTACCAATGTTCTCTAAAAT